GTAGTGGGTCTGTCACCCCTCTGAGTATCAGCTCTCTGTGCACTACTCTTCTGAGTATCAGCTCTCTGCACATCACCCCTCGGAGCACTCCTCTCTGGTCTGCCCCTAGCAGGGCAGTGTCGCCACCGGCCCGAAACGGGCTTTCGGCTTTCGCGAAGGATGGTTGGACTCGTTTATTTGTTTAAGAATGTGGATTGCTAGAATGACTTATTCTCAAACTGAGACCTCGTCAAACGAACAATTTTATTAAAAGTCTCACTAATCCATATTAATCCCAAGCGGGACCCTCCATGGATTAGTGGTTTTCGTAAAAGGAGGGTTCGTGGAGTCGCCACCAATGTTTTACTCAAAACATTTCCATGCCCTTTCACTTTCCGCGCAGCTGCAATGGCCACAGCCTTGTTCTTGAAAACTTGATAGAAATAATAGTAAATGCCCTGATAACATTTAAAATAAGCATTTAGATAACAACCCCACAGAAAAGCACATCACCTATCACATTTTAGGCATGTTTTGATAAACTTTTCATACACTTATATACCAGAAGAAAATAAAAAGAAATGAATAAAAATTTTCTCGTTAAGTTATAATACAACTTATACATAAACTAATTTATAGAAATTCTCTCATTTAGCTTATACAAAAGTTGATTTTAACTAGTGGATAAATTAATTTTAACTTGTAAGATAAACTTAATCCATTTTAACTTGTATTTATTAAAAAAATTATTCAAATAGGGTAATTTTACTCACTATAATATATTAAAAATATTTGTGTTTATTTTTTATTTTCTTCTAATAAGTTATCACAAGATTTATTAATTATCATTAAAAGTACCACATTTATAATAGAAGCAAATATACTATTGAAAATAAAAAATTATTTATATTAACTAATTTTTAAGCTAATAAATTAAATAAAAATATATATTATATAAAATAATAATATTGTAAAATAATTAAATTACAAAAAAAAACTCCAATTGATAATCAGTTTTTAGTTAACCAATTTCTCAATATGAAAAACCTAAGTCAGGAATTGGTTGGCAGAGAATCAATTTCTCAATATGTTTAGTAAATTTAACATTTTTGTAAATATATTTCAAGGTATGGTATTTTGGGATTTTTTTTAATATAATAACAAGAGTTAATCACCTATACACTACTAGTGTAAAGTTTTTTTCACTGGCAACCAATTATATATTTTACCTACAACTATTAGAGATCTTGAAAGCAAAGCAGCTGTATGCTAAGCTTTCAAAATGCGAGTTCTGGTTGGGGGAGGTGAAGTTCTTGGGCCACGTGATTTCAGCTGAGGGGATTGCTGTTGATCCGGCTAAGGTGGAGTTGGTGTTGCAGTGGGAGCGCCCGAGGACTGTCATGGATATACGGAGCTTTGTGGGCTTAGCGGGTTACTATCGGAGGTTCATTGAAGGGTTCTCTAGGATAGTAGCGCCTCTGACCCAGTTGACGAGGAAGGAGCAGCCGTTTATTTGGACAGATGCCTGTGAACGGAGCTTTGAGGAGTTGAAGAGAAGGTTGACTACTTCTCCTGTGTTGGTGTTACC